GTCACTGTTACTTCTGGAAGTAAATCCATCCAAGACTCAATAAGTCTATTGCCAGTGAGTTGAAATCTAGTCATCCACTTCTGAAGATCCATTGTTCCTCTGTTGAACTTCATGAACTGCATGAAACGGTATAAGAACACGTTTTGGGCACCTTTGATGAAATGAGGTCGTAGAAATCTTTTGAAATAAGCCACTCCTTCATAGGGATCCCTGAGTAATTCTCTATCCAATAGCCTCTTGTATTGTTGAGCATCTCCTTCCAGTCTGTTGCGCAATGCTGGACCACGTTTTTCTGGTTCTAACTCCGTAATGTCACACCAGTCATCAATTGCATCCTCAAAAGCAAAGAAGCTGGTTCGCCCATCATAGGCTGGAGCAACCTTTGTGGTCATCTGTTGCGTCATATGAATCTGTGTATGCTGGGGTGCTCTTCTCATTGCATAAGAGTCATATTGGTTCCATTCATTTGCATCGACAATGTCGAAGTCATCATCATCATAGCCATGGCTTGCCATTACTTGGGCTCTACCTGGAGCTCACCCTCAATGAGGGATCACAGCTCCGCTACCACTTGAAGAGGGGCCCTAGCGTCTACTTCAAGATCAGCTAAGGCGTCTTCCCCAATGACAGCACTCTTTTACTCTCAGCCTGTTGCCGGTCAGTGCTTGTCTACAGGGTTACTCTATATACCTCTTGAGCCTTGAAGGGCGCATATAAATGTGCTCAATACTCATGCATGTACCTATGTAGGTATTAGGTCGAAACAAAAACAAGGGCGCAGCGCCTCCCCCCGCAATGCGTACCAAGAGAGAAGCACATAGGCACAAGTCTCAATGGATATATTGCAAGCAAGAACGACAAGATCAAGAAAGAAGCACATAGGCACAAGTCTCGATGGATATTTTGAAAGAAGAAGAAAGAGAAAATGAACCCTAAGAAAGGATGCTTATGAGCAAAAGGCAAGAGAGTAGGTAGCAAGGGAAGCTGATAAAAAACCAAAAGCGGGTGGGGGGGTCCCCTGCAATGCGTACCAAGAAAGAACATGAAAGAAGTACATAGGCACAAGTCGCGATGGAGATCAATGAAGATGAAATGAACGCAAATAACCGATGATAAGTGTTGACTGCACACATGGTCCTTCCTTCCTTCCTTCCTTCTTTCCTTCCTTCTTTCCTTCCTTCCTTCCTTCCTTCCTTCCCTTCGTTCCCCCCTTGCATCCTTCCCTCCTTCTCTCCTTCCTCCTTCCCTCCTTTCCTCCTTCCCTCCTTTCCAACTTCCCTCCTTTCCTCCTTCCCTCCTTTCCTCCTTCCCTCCTTCCTTCCTTCCTTCCCTCCTTCCCTCCTTCCTTCCTTCCCTCCTTTCCTCCTTTCCTCCTTCCCTCCTTATTTCCTTTCTTCCTTCCTTCCTTCCTGCCTGCCTGCCTGCCTTCCTTCCTTCCTTCCCTCCTTTTCTCCTTTCCTCCTTCCCTCCTTCCCTCCTTTCCTCCTTCCCTCCTTCCCTCCTTCCCTCCTTCCTTCCTTCCTTCCCTCCTTCCCTCCTTCCTTCCTTCCCTCCTTTCCTCCTTCCCTCCTTTCCTCCTTCCCCCCTTTCTTCATGGTCATTTATTTTTTTTGATGCATGTATATTTTTTTTGATGCATCTTTTTTTTTGATGCATTTTTATTTTTTTTGATGCTTCTCCCGATCGTTCCCAAAGAGGACCAAAACCCCTTTTCACCACGCCATTTGGTGGAAGATACCACTGTGACCGTGAATGTCATGGTCTTAGACATGCCAAGGAAGTTTGTCTGACGCCACGATGTCACAGATGTGGCCCGCAGTCAGACGTTCCCCAACATAGGCTGTATGCGATCTCACATGGATATGCACTTCATGTTGATTATGAGCATTGTCGTGATGCGGGATCCAATGGTCCACTTCGGGCCTTCAATCCATGTGCGATTTGCTGCACTGCAGATGATAGACTTGTTATGACTTGTTTAGAGGGCTTGAGCTGAATATGTGGTCAGTGGAACTGATCACATAGGGGGAGTGCGTGTAAGAATTCCATGCATCCCTATTTACCCAATTCTCAAATGGAAATACTTCAACTTTTGCTTTGACTTCAACCCACCGGGTGTTGTCCAGACTTCAACTCACCGGGTGTTGTCTAGGAATCCTGAAGAACCTGCATCTGGGCCGGACCGAAGCCTTTTAGATGTCAAGCGGCACAAAGGTGCGTCAGCTAGCAGCGAGGTGGCTGCTTGGAGTTTTGGGGAAACTTGGTTTCGTTTTTTGGGTTGAAACATTTCTTTTCCGGTTGGGGTCGGGATCTCAGTTGCTGTTCAGGGTTCCAGGAAGGTTCACTTGTTGGCATTGGGAGGCTTCAGGAAACGCAGAAACCATGGAAACCGTGCAAACTATGAAAACCGTACAGAAATCTTGGACAACAGGGAAACCATGGAAACCGCAGACAAATCATGGAAACCATGGAAACCATGGAAACCGCACAGACATCATGGAAACCATGGAAACCATGGAAACCATGGAAACCGCAAGAAGAAATCATGAAAACCATGGAAACCGCAGACAAATCATGGAAACCATGGAAACCGCAAAGAAATCGTGGAAACCATGGAAACCATGGAAACTGCAAAGAGATCATGGAAACCATGGAAACCGCAGACAAATCATGGAAACCATGGAAAACCCATGGAAACTGCAAAGAGATCATGGAAACCATGGAAACCGCACAGACATCATGGAAACCATGGAAACCATGGAAACCATGGAAACCATGGAAACCATGGAAACCATGGAAACCATGGAAACCGCAAGAAGAAATCATGAAAACCATGGAAACCGCAGACAAATCATGGAAACCATGGAAACCATGGAAACCGCAAAGAAATCATGGAAACCATGGAAACCATGGAAACTGCAAAGAGATCATGGAAACCACAAAAACCATGGAAACCGCAAAGAAAGTATGGAAACCATGGAAACCATGGAAACCACACAGATATCATGGAAACCATAAAAACCATGGAAAACCGCAGAGAAAAATAGAAACCATGGAAACCATGGCACAGAGTGTGTCGCGTTTCAAAATGAGTAATAAAGTCGCGTTTCAAATTGAGTATTATCCCGCGTTCTAAAACGAAACCTTCCCCCGAGATGCATAATGCCACACCTATACATATGCAAATGCACACTCTGCCAGTGTTGTAAAATTTGAGCTGACTTTTGCAATCGGACCCAATTGACCGGAACAGAAGAACTTCAAAAAGAAGTCAATCCTTTGGCTCCGCAGAAAGTCGCAAAACAGTACGACTTGGAGTTTGAAAAACTGATTGGACTCTGGTTGAAGATAAAAAAGATGGCAGCCACATCATGTTGGAGAACAATACTGCAAAAAAATGGAAAAAGGGAAAAGCAAATTGATCCAGCATTGGAAGCTCCAACGTCCTACCATGTCCTGCCCGCTCTGATTGTGGTCCAGTGTTCTTCTTCACCCCATGGATGCGACTATGGTGCAGGACTTCTTCGACAAGAGGAGACAAAACAAGAAATATGTGAGAAAATCACAGAAGAAAAGGAAGGGAAAGGGAAAAACATAATTGAACAGGGAATAGTGCACACCCAGTATGTAGATGTATCAGGCATAGGCGCATTGAAGTCGAACCCTCGTCGCAAGCGTACAAAAAAGGCAATGACTGTGGCTCAGGTAGTCGGAGGATGATCGGAAAACCCAATTTGAACAATTTTAACTTTTAAACATATTTAGACTGGTATTGCTACCAGGAGGCTCATGGTGGCTGCGGGTAAGGTTCTGGTTCTGTTGCTGCTGCTGCTTCCGGTGCCTCTCTATGGATTTTTCATGATTTATGGATTTTTCATGATTTTTCATCCTTTTTTCCCGGGGCTCCGTTGCAGAAGCGGATGATGACGAACGATGTCAAGTGCCCGCATGGTATCGCATGGTGGTACAATGGCAATTTATAGTGTCAGTGTTTGTCTTGCCACGCCTTGCCCGTGTTTTTTTACACGTATTTAATTTGCAAGTATATAACTTTTTTTGATACAATAATTGCGATTTCCAAGCACCACAGAAACGCAAAGTGTGGGGCCCTGTGGGGCCGGGCCTGTATAGCTCGTGCAGCCAGGTCTGCCACCTCAAATTTTGTTTCGAAAATCTTCAGAGTGTTCGCACAGTCAATGATGCGATGAATTGATAGCGAATTGAATATATGCTCATATTAAACTTACTACTGTATATGTAAATTACTCTACCGAGCTTCCTTGGTATTATGCCGCACTTCAAGTGAATGAATCACAGGAAGAGGAATAAAACAAAATTTCTCTCATGCATATGTTCAGGAGAAGCCCCACCCCACTTGAATTTTGCACTTTGCCACCCGTGAGGCTCTACCACTCTACAAAAAACTCTCCAAAGAGCTGTGCTGCCACTTTCACTTTGGCAACATTGCCAGAATAGGATGGAGCATGTTGGGGCCGTCTCTCCTCTGGCTACTCATAAGCTTACTGGTAACAGTAACCAAAATCCTGCTGCTGAAGAAGATGTGAACTTTCCACATCTTTCCACAATATATTTCCACATATTTCCACATGCTCGAAATTGAATGAAGTTGAACTAGTTCAAACATGTTCGGAAGGCTTTGAACCTTGCTGAAAATGCCGAAGGCGCAAAATGGCACACAATCGCTGCCAAAGCGCGTGGGAATAGATCTGATGGCGACCCAAGGTACCGCTCAACGCAGCACCTTTGGCGATGCGGCTCAAATGCCAGAGCTCCTGCGCGATGTGAAAAGATGCGCAAAGGGCGGGCTCACAGCAAGAGTCTCAGAACTCCTGTCTCCCTGTCTCATCCTGTCTCATCCTAATTCCTAATCCCAGAGTCTTAGGATGGTGCTGGCACAGCATCAGCATGTGTCAGCGTTTGTCTGCAATTGTCCGTCTCGCTGTTGAGTCTCAATGTCTTCGCAACGTTTTCCCCTGCACCGCTGAATAATGACAAGGATGCATAGACACGACTAGAGCAAATGCCCGCCCAAAGCAGCCCGAAAGCATCAATATACCCATCAACAAAGTGAAGTTGATGTTGGAGCGCTTCCGCATCAAGTCTGACTGTCATTATTTCAAACTCTTGCGCTCTCAGCGCCGGGAGCAGCTCTTTTTACCATGCCACACAGGGAGATTGCCAAGGCAGAGAGGCGGTCAAAGCTGTCCTGTCATCTACTGCGCATGCTGACTGGAACCTTTCAGGACCTACAGTATGCACAGTAATGCATTGTGTGCATATATGTATACCTACTACCTTCGTACTTTACACGCCGGTATCACCCAGTATCTTAAGATAACATAGAATAACATATCATAAGATTGCAGAACAATAACATAACAATAACATAACAATACAATAACAACAAATGAGGTTACATAATGTTACTTTACATTACACCCCACTCCACTCCATTTCATCACACGCATAAACTAATTAACTAACTGCATTACATCACATCACATAAGATGCAGGTTATGTGCATACATATGATGGTGTGATACTTTGTGATACTGTGCATATGTACATGTATAGTTATTCGAAGGAAATTTAGAAGTCAAACTGCCGACAGTATCGGCAGATGAAGCAGGAGAGGTGGGAAGAGGCAGAGAAGAGAAAGGCAGAAGAAAGAAGATCAAGGTGCGCTCAAATGTTTTGTGGTTCCGGAGGCTTGGCAAGTAGGCTCCCTAAAGCGGCGGGTGCGGAACCATCTGGGCAGATGAGAAATGAAAAATTGCACGCCGTTGTGGCTCGAAGCAGATTTCGAAGTCAAATGCCAAAAACACCACACATGTGGCGCTATTTTGCCAGCTGAGATGTTTCAAAGGTGCAAGGCGCTGTGAAGCACATTTCCAAGTGACAAAACACCTCAGGTACCGAGCGCTTTTGGAAGTTGAGATGTTGAAAAAGTGTGCGCCTTGGTGGCGCGACGGTCCGGAGCACTTTTGGCAGCTGAGATGTTGAAAAGTGCATGCCGTTCAGCGCGAAGCACATTTCGAAGTGAAAATATACAAAGCGCACCACATTCGGACCACTTTTGGATGTTCAAGCGTCGTTTCGTGTGGCAGGCGCAATGGATTCTGCTCTTTTACAAAATTCAGCTAAACGTGTGGGTTTTGTAACAATTTCCAAAACGATGGCAGGCGCGGGACGTTTGAAGAGGATCTGCAAACATGCATGCCGCGTGGCACGCGCAGTACAAGAGACATTTCCTTCAGACATGTTCGGTCAGGGAGCAGATTTCCTGAGACGGGATGCATTTTGGAGCATCAGATCGTCAGCTTTCATAAGATGATTTTGCGTGACAGGTGCGACACTTCATTGACCTGGTATCACTTTTTCCTGGCAGGCGCAGTACTTTCAAGAGATTGAATGGAAAATCGCAAAACGCATGGCTACGAGGCTGTCAGCTCAGCACTCAAATTTCCATTTTTGAAAGAGATCTCGCAGAATTGCTTCGCTTTTCAGCTTTCAACTTCCAAATTTCAAGAAAGTCCCGCAGAATAGCTTCGTTTTCAATCTTGCAGATAGATAGATAGATAGATAGATAGATAGATAGGTAGACAGATAGATAGATAGATAGATAGATAGACCGATAGATAGACAGATAGATAGATAGACAGATAGATAGACAGATAGAAAGATAGACAGAGAGATAGATAGGTAGACAGGTAGACAGATAGATAGCTAGACAAATAGATAGACAAATAAAGAGATAAACAGAAAGACAGATAAATAGACAGATAGATGGATTAATTTAATTGATTGATTGATTGATTGGTTGATTGGTTGGTTGGTTGGTTGATTGGTTGATTGGTTGATTGGTTGATTGATAGATAGATAGACAGAAAGACAGCTAGCTAGCTAGATAGATAGCTAAGGCAGATAGACGGATAGACATGTGGATAGCTGGACAGATAGAAAGACGGAAGGATAGATAGACAGATAGATGGATAGACGGATAGACGAATAGACAGAAAGATAGACAGAGAGATAAATAGGTAGACAGGTAGGTAGATAAATAGATAGATAGACAGACAGAGGGATAGATAGGTAGACAGGTAGACAGGTAGACAGGTAGATAGATAGATAGCTAGATAGCTAGATAGCTAGATAGCTAGATAGCTAGATAGCGACATAGATAGATAGGTAGATAGATAGCTAGATAGCGACATAGATAGATAGGTAGATAGATAGCTAGATAGCTAGATAGCTAGACAGATAGATAAACAAATAAAGAGATAAACAAATAGACAGATAGATAGACAGACAGATAGACAGACAGCTAGCTAGCTAGCTAGCTAGCTAGCTAATAGATAGATAGATAGCTTAGCAGGCAGATAGACGGATGGACATGTGGATAGTTGGACAGATAGATAGACGGATAGATAGATAGACAGATAGATAGACAGATAGCGGGATAGACGGATAGACAGATAGATAGGTAGACAAATAACTAGAAATATAAAGATAAATAGATAAACAAACAGTTAGCTCAACACTCCAACCACCTTTCGATCCATGAGCGGGATCGCTTTGCCACCATGCATCACAACAACTCACCTCTCCTATAGGTTTCCTACTTTTGAACTTCCGCCACCACCTTGCGCGGTACTACTGGTAATCATGTAGGTCATTTGTCGACTGTCGAAAGTACTAGAAAATGGTCTGACCAGAAGGGCTGACTTAATTTTTGCGCTTGTATACTTATAGACTTATAGACACTGTCCGACTATCTTTGCTGATCTTACACTTCACATGTGTGTGGCCACTTCAGTAAAGCAATTAAGCCAAGGTCAGATTCAGTTTCACGGGTAAAACATGGTAGAACATCCGATCACAACTTCTGAAGACTCCAGCCAAAGTCAGCCCATGAATCTTGATGAAAGTTGATTAAATTTGCAGCATATTTAGCTATGCCAACTGTATTATCGCAATCTGCGGAAGTTGTATTGACAAGTAAGAGCGTTAAGAGGGCAAGTTGAATCAAGTTGAAGGTACTCTCGTGATCTTTCGTGGCTCAAGGTGACTCAGGTTCCTCCACCTTTGCACTGCGATGCGCCATTAGAGCTTGAAGAAGAGATCCCTGCATGATGACATCCTCAGGTCGTGCATGTCGCTGCATGTGGGACATGCGATGAGGCTATGAAAAGGAAAGCCGAACGGCCTGAGAAGGACCTATGGGGCCTCTTGGTGCCTCTTGGCGCATAGTGGAGAGTGTGAGCACTGAAAGTCGCGAGTCAGCAGACTGATGCGAGAATTACAGGACGTCCAATCACATCCAATCACAGTGTATGCAGGAAGACATTGTGAACAAAGAAAGATACGAAGCATCATGTCTTTAGGGCTCGACGAACAGTTAATGGTACTTATAGTTGAGTAGAAGAAAGCAGTATTGGCCAGATGAGATAAATCAGTCACAACCAGTAGATTCGCGAAGTTGATGACCAATAATGTGGTAGATTCAAGACACCAATGCAATAATGCCAATCCAGTAAGTCCGCGAAGAATAGCACTCTTTTATGCAGGCATCTTGAGCCAAACGTCGTTGGCCAAGTCTTGAGTTTCATCCCGTATTTCAGGATAAAAGAACATGTTATCATTGAAAGATAACCTATTGATTCGTCTATTCCTTGTTGACCTCAAATGACAACTTGTACACTTTACAGTCATTGAGCGCAACATCATAGATACTCATGCACAAGGTGAGGAGTTGATCGAGTATTTTCATCTCCCCCCTCTCGAAAAACTACGAACTACATCTACGTTCATCGGAGGCTTCGGGTGCTTTCACATATGGCAGTATTCGTTGAGCTTTCTTAATTGTAGCGCTTCTTCGCCGCCGCCTTTGGCACTGATTTCGGTTCTGGGCGCGCCCCACCATAACTAGGACCTAGAGCTTCGTCCAGATTCTCAAAGTTCATCTTGAGCCCCGTTGACGATGTATGTAGAATCTTGTTGTCCTTTAGAATATTGAGAAGCTTCATAGCGTTTTCCCACAATGGACCAGCTACAGCTTTTGTGAACACATCAGCCTTTTGGAATAGAGTGTTGACCAGCATCAACTCAATGTCAGGTTGATTCAACTGTTCACTCAAAGATGCCAAATGGATCTTCTGTGTCCTACGGAGATGTCTTAATCGTTTGCTATAACCCGCCACAACAATCTTTGCAGTGGCTTCGTTGTCCTCACGGACACGCAACCGAACATCTCGTTGCAGAAGCTGTTTCCAAAGTTCTAACATAGAAAGCCCCTCTTCGCACAAAACGTACGAAAGCGCCACTGTCTCGGCCTCTGTGGTCGATCTTGCAACAGTGCTTTGCTTTTAGACAACCATACAAGTGGAAACTGCGTCGACGGTCCAGGTAATTGTATCCAGCCGCCACTGGTTGAATAACAATCTTCGTCGTCTATGTATCCACCTTGAATCCGTGGCCCACCTTGCACAAAATTGCATTGACCCTCACGGAGCTCCACCATTACCAACTCCAGCTCCTCCCAACAGCCCCCCTGATGTCAAGATCCCGGTTGGCGCAGCGATAGACGCGCTTCCAACCATGGGATATGCATGAGCAATGCCAGCGGCCGCATGCGCGATAGACGCGCTCGCAGTTCGAGCCTCTCGGAACCTGATGGACTCTGATGGGGATAAACTTGGAGGCGGACATGAAGTAGCACCAATGCGGTCTCCCTGCAAAAGATTCTGGTCCGCGCCATTGTTGGCAACTACTGCACTGAACAATGTTGAACATCTCCAACATGATGGTCTTCCAACCACATTTTGTGAACCGCAACATGAACAAAACATCACCTCTAAGGGGTTGATGCTGGCAACGCTAGCTCCAGGTCCAACTGACATGATCTCGGTATGTTGTGCAGACTGTGTATGCGGAAGTGGATGATCAAAAGGGTTCCCAACCAAAGGTGAACCACTAATTGAACCAGCCATGGATGCCACTCTCTCAGAATTCCTCAACTGCTGATGTGCGGCTTCCAACTTCGCTCCAAGCATCTGAAGCTCCTTCACAGCCCTATCCCGATCCAATTCAGCTTGTCGGGCGACATAGGCCACCTGGCCTTCTGCAGCCTTCTGAACCTCATGAAGTTCTAGTTTCAATTGCCTATTGTTCTCTGCCATCTGTGCAATGCGGATATCTGCTTGTTGTTGAATCTGCTCACACAATTGTTTGGCTTGTTCAGTGTTTTGTTGTTCTCTTATCTCAACTGTTTGCTTTTCTTGCTGAAGCTGTTGCAATCTTTCTAGAACGTGGTCTTGCAATGCCTTCTGGTTGTTTCCGGCTTGTTGTCTGATATGCTCGATCTCTTGTTGTGCGGCCTCCCTCATCTGATGATAACTGTTTTCCACTCTCGCCCTCACCAGCGACTCCAACAACTGCTCCAACTGTTCTGGGTCTACTTAGTAGGCCTGTTGTTGAAACAAATTTTGTTGAACATTTGGGTATTGTACTGATGCAAACTTGGTGGAATCTGTTGTCCCGTAGATGCACTCCCACCCTGCAGTGGACGAAGATGACTTCTGCCCTCGCTTAGCTAAGGTCGTCATATTGGCCATCTCCTGAGAGCTAGCTTGGATAGTGGTAGACAACTGCCCTACTGGGTTTTCAGGTGATTCAGATGATGGGGTCCAAGTTGAGTTCGGCCCATCAACCTTGAATGGAGTGGCTGGCACGTCGCACTTCATCTTTTACACCACGAAGAACTTATAGTGCAAGAATTCCTATGCTTCAAATGCAGGAGCACAGTGGCACACGATACACGCGACAGTCCACCCAAAGCCACAATCTGCGATCCAAATAGGCTATAGCAAGATCACAAACTCGCTTCTGCTGTGCTGGACGCGCTAAGCGCGAATTTACAAACTCATGCAAAACTCCTGGAGGTGAAATTCAATGGCAAAATGCCTGAACTGCCGGTGGCGAAAGCTAATGGCAAAGTGCCAAAAATATCCAGTGAAATCGATAGCAAAATGCCAGAGATGTAGGGTGAAATCCGATGGCAAAATGCCAATCGACCAGTGAAAGCACGGCAAAGTGCCGGGAAAGCCAGGTAAAAGCTCCGTGACAAAATGTCAGACGTGTTGTGGGTAATGTCAATGGCAAACGTTGGAACTGCTGAAGATATAGCCCTTTGCAACACTCTACCTCAGGTTTCGTAGTGTTGATGGCAGTGGGAAATCCTCCACGTTGCGATCGGCCAAATATCGGACCAAGGGGTCAAGCGTGCGCACCGCAACGTGCTTTGATACACTTCACCCTATTACCCTTAGCCCAACCGGATTGCACTGAAAGACACTCGTCTAACAGCTCCTGCTGGTCGTCAGTGAATACACAGGCCCCTGTCTTCTTTACATCAATTGCCTTTGCCCGCACGTCCTCTGTTATAGAGGGACCTGCTTCACGATCTGACAGTAATTTTAATTTCGTACGCGTGATATGTATGCCAGCGAATGGCCTGCGAAGCTTCTTCTCAATTTCCTTGCAAGTCTTGAGGGTATTCTCCTGGGTTGTGGTATTCGAAGAGAAACTGCAAATGCAGATGTCAAATCCCCAACGCTGTATGTTCTGCAAGTGCTGCACAGTCACTTCGCTGACAATCTGGTTAAATTCTATGGTATGGTGGCAATCTAACGCCACCAGTGGGCCCTCCGACGATTCAGACCGGGGGGCTGTCGCCTTTGGCGCCCCCGACGCCGAGGCCAATGCAACACGAGCTTGGCACTCTGCCAACTTCTTCTCGTAATATGGCCTATGAATGTCACCAGGCTTCAGGAAATAGAATCTGCTATGGTCCTGCTCTCGCAAAATGCGACTTTCGTACAGCTCCCCAGCCTTGGCAACCAACAGACAGAGCTGTTTTGTCAACGACACCACGGTGAGATTCAGAAGGAATAACCAAACTCGACGACGAAGCAGATGCAGATTCTTCAACTTCAGGCTCCCCTTTTGCAACTGAGGGCTTTTTCGCTGGAGGCTTTTTCGCCGCTGTCTTCTTTGCAGTCACAGCAGGAGATCTGCTCTCAGGCACTGATGGAGCACTGCTTTGAACCTCTCTCTCAGGCACAGAGGATGAAGGACGAGCTTTCTTCTTTGGTGGCCTCTTAGGTTCAGGAACACCAGAAGATTCTTCAGATTCTTAGGCACAACTGGAGCACTGGATCTCTTAGGCTCAGGTACACCAGCAGCCGGAGAAGCTCTAGGCACCGCTGCAGCACGAGCCCTCTTAGGCTCAGGTACACCAGAAGATTCAGTAGCAGCTGGAGAGGCCTTAGGGACAACTGGAGTACGGGATCTCTTAGGTTCAGGTACACCAGATGATTCAGAAGCAGCAGCCGAAGTCTTGGGCACCGCTGGAACACTAGCCTCATCCCTGGGGGCTGATTTGCTTCTTCTAGGCACCGGAACAGTTCTCCTTGGCACAGTAGCAACCGATGTAGTAACCACCGTAGTTTCGCGCTCAGCGCGAGATGCAATAGACTCAGAACCTGCTACACTCTCGCGCTCTGCGCGATACGAAGGTTGATCTCTGTCTCGAACGTCTGGTCGATCAGGGACCCAAACCCAATGCCACGAACAAGGCTCAGATGTTCCAGGAGGTGGTCCTTCAGGAGCTTCAGGAGGCGGTCCTTCTGGAGGAATAGGACGGCGGATGGCGAGCAGAATCGGGTGGAGGTTCTCTCGCAAGCTGCTCCCTAGTAGCGTAGGTGCTCGCACTGGCTTCTCCACGATCAAACCTGGCCACTTGAGAAGCACGCCACGGGTTGCCACCACGCGCTCCACGAATCCGCTTCTTCTCACTCATGCAGTCGCCCAAGCAAGAGCCACCACGCAATCGCGCAAGCGCGAACGACAGATTGCAAGAACCCTAGATGTAATGCACGATGCAATGTAGTCTAGGAAGCTCAATGATCTCACAGTTGAATGATTAGAGCCGGGTTACGGCTGATAAAAAGATAAATCAGTCACAACCAGTACATTCGCGAAGTTGATGACCAATAATGCGGTACATTCAAGACACCAATGCAATAATGCCAATCCAGTAAGTCCGCGAAGAATGGCACTCTTTTATGCAGGCATCTTGAGCCAAACGTCGTTGGCCAAGTCTTGAGTTTCATCCCGTATTTCAGGATAAAAGAACATGTTATCATTGAAAGATAACCTATTGATTCGTCTATTCCTTGTTGACCTCAAATGACAACTTGTACACTTTACAGTCATTGAGCGCAACATCATAGATACTCATGCACAAGGTGAGGAGTTGATCGAGTATTTTCATCTACAAGTAGATAATATGAGACATAGTATTCATAAATTCACAATACATCATAATACAGTATAGTACATTATATACAAAGTTATACGAATATATGCAAGACAAATACAAACTAATCAAGCAATGTTCGGAGCCTGGACAATCATCTACCGGAGATGCTGCTATACTTAGTCCATCTTAGTCAAACTGTGCTGATAGAATGCCTCCAAAGAGATCCCCTTTCCAGGTTTGAGCAAGCAAGAGATCCAATGCATTTTTGCAGCTTGGCATCTGGTAGCATTGCAATCTGAAACCATGTGATTCAAAGTCATGCATGTATGTGGCTGGGACATGTCGCTAGGCTTCATTACGATGGTGCACAAGACAGTCCATTCCGATCCTTTCTGTCAAATAATCATGAATAATCATGTGCCACGATAGGCCCAAGGTTCGAGTTGCAGAGCTTGCATTTGCATGTCACCTTGAAGTTGCAGTGCTACTGTCCAAGCTGTTTCCGCTGCAGCAAAGAAAGCGGCTCCATAGGAGAAAGCATCTGGACCAGGCAATGCAGCCGGCCGCAGCTGAGATACCAATGCAAAGACCTTCACAGAAAGAGGGGAGGCCAATAGTCAGGAGAAGCCGAAGCTGGAAGGATGAAGTAGCCGCAACATGTCGCAACCACACAAGAGCCCCTACAAGATCCGAAATCTGGAAAACCAGAATGAGTTGATTGATTACACTGGCTTTGTTTCAATATATTTCACCATATTCACCCCTTTTGTGGCGTCGAACAACTCCGTCTCCTTGTGCCACTTGGAGCATTTCTCCGCTGCACTGCACACAGCATTCCAGGAGATCAGGTCTATTTGCACTTGTGCCGCGTGGCTTGAAGTCAGTGTCCTGATCGGGACCGAACTTCAAGCGGGCATAAGATCTAATTAAATGATTAGAAGCTGGTCATATACAGATCAAGATCATTAGATGATTAGATGGTCCACCAAGCTACGCTTTTGACATTTTCTTGCACGCACACACACACACCTTGTGGGCACATGCTGATGAACAAAGAAGTTTTTCACCTGCCCTTCTTATCAGCCTGTGGCAGCCATTCCAGTAGCCGAAATGGGAAGGCACTAAACTGGACAATTAGTGAATATAAAAACAATCACAGGAGCACATGCAACTTAACTTACATTTACATCATCATTTTTCTATGCCCTACCAGTACCCTTGCTATTCTTCTTGCTGGAATCCCATCTAATTACCGCTGCTGTTGCGTCTTTTGAAAGCCCTCTTGACACACGAACAGTACAAGACGCAAGGCGTGAATTTCGATATGCTTGCAAAGAGGCATACATAAATAATGCTTGTGTATTACACAAAAAACACATCCCCGTACTGCATATTCTATTGTTTATCATTGCTCAATATTATTCATGTATCTGTAGATCTCAACATGTTGTGAATGTATCATCATAGGCTCCAGACATTCCCACCCATCCCGGGTTCCAAATCACCAAATCATGGAGCCTTGCCTGAACGCATGTCTCCATTGCTGGCCGCATGCACTGATGGCGGCATTGCACACCACAATCGATCCTTGCAGGCGAGTCTGCGACATCCTGGGCCAAACGGCTGTTGCAAGCACTGTTGTCTTTAGTAACTTTAAA